AGGCAGGAAGCACAGCTCTGGCAAGCTTTCCTAAACCCCCTGGTAACTCTAGTCTGTTGTTCTCCGGTTTTGTTTGCTTTTCTTTAAAAAGCAGTTGGGACACTTCAAGTTACAATTAAGCCTTTATTCAACTACGAACAATTGCCTGGTCCCTACCCAAAGCCGTGCAGAGACATCCCAGCTGCATCCAGGCTCCCTCCCCGGAGAAGCGCTGGGCTCCTCGGCCGCTCAGCCCCGCGTCGCTCCAGAGCAGAAGGGGGGACCCTGCGGGCCTCCACATCCCCCAGCTGAGCTGCAGCCCTCGGGCGGCAACGGGAGCCACTCGAAACACCCAGGGAAACCCATTCCCCAGGGAGCCGGCAGCTCGCGCCCCCGCGCCGGGCAGCTGCTCCGCACCTGGGTTCAGCTCCGTCTCAGGACGGAAGCAGCAGCAGCTTCCAGGAAACGGCGCCTGCGCTGCTGAGGGCACATCCCAAGGCTCCAGGCCAGAAAACACTGTTTAGCAGATTCCTGGGCAAGTGCTCACCTCTCCTCACGCACCACAACCGCAAGCGTTTCGATTTCCATCCATACATGGAGCCCTTGACAACTGCCCAGTTCTCCTTGAAAAACTCTTTGTGATTGCAGGAAAAAGAACATAAAAGGCCCAAAATATGTGGCCCAAAAGTACGAGAATGCTCAGAAATCAAGAGAGAAAAGAGCTGGAGTGTGTCACTCCCTCCTCGCCCACTACCACCCACAACTTTCACAATCTCTGGATTTTTGGAGTACCTGAACTACAACCGTCTCACAGCAACTATCTGGGTATTTTTAAGAATTTTAACCAAACAACAGCATTACAACTGCAGACCAGATGCCGTTGCTATTACTAATATAACTTTGATTATTCTGTTGCACAGGAGAGCAATCCAGGTACATGAAGCCACTCGGCAGCCTTATGGCACCCAAGACGTCTGCCAGAAGCCAGAACAGAGGGGACAGGACCAAGGCGGGAACCATGTTCCCTGGAAACACCTCAAGTGTCCTTCCTGGCTTCTGCATGTCATCTAAACTGGTGCTACAATAAATTCCTACCTGCCTTTGGCCATGTGAATTCCTCCTGCCACAGCCCGCCTGCAGAAGCAGCAGCTGAAAGGAAAAAGATCCAGTCTTTACTCCACATGATCACAGATCTGAGGTGGCTGCACTCCTAGCTTTAGCTGCATCTCCTCAGGCTTGTTCTACACATGCTGCTGATTAAATGTAGACTCCAGGGCAAAAACCTGTGCAGTATCATTAGCATTCAGAATTTCTAGGAGTCTTTTCTCCAAGGGCATTTTTTTCTGTGGGAAGAAAATGAACATTTTTTAGCTGGCATGTACGTGCAAGAGCTCCTAATGAATTGAGAAGAGGTCAGAAAGGATGACAGAACATCCAGATTTCTTCCCTTGATTCACCCAACAAACCAGTCATTCAAACCAAGCCCCATTTCCCTGGCACCATTCGCATCATTCGTATGGACAAGGAAGGGGAGAGCCTGTGCTGGAATCCAAAATGCTGAAGCAAAGTCAAACAGCTCGAAAATGACGCAGGGAACATGCGTTTCTGTTGCTTGCTCCTTGCTTGGTGCAGACGCCCAGCTTATCTCTAAGACTCGCAGAAATCGCAGCGCTGTGGAGCTAGAGACGCAGCTCCAGCTCTGCAGGAGGACGCTCGAGCAGCAGCACAGGCCTCTGCACAGGATTGCTGCCATCAAGACCACGGACGACCACAAGCTGAGGGGAAGCCCCCGACAGCCGTTTCCCAGAGGGCAAGAACTCACTTTTTAACGACATGGGCACTCAAAGTCTTTCTGATGAACGTGGCCGGCTGGTCCCACGGCCAAACGCACGAGTTCGCGCGGAGACGCCGGGGCTGTGAGCGGCCTCCCTGGACGGGTGCCGCGACGGCGGCCACGGCACCGCGGAGAGTCGCTCGCAGCTGCGCCTCGTCCCGCCTCTATTCCCAATGCGCACAAGCAACTAACCTGGAAACCTTCAACTCCTGAGGCTGCTCCTGTGGCTGAGGGCCTTAAAACCTCCTCTGGTTTTGAGGTTACATCAGACCTCCTAGTCTTTCATTTCTAGGCATCTGGATCCTTCCAAAAAGCTTGGCACTTTAGCAATGGAAAACTATGTCAAGGAACTCTTGCACAGTAACCCACTTTTGTTAATAAACTCACCTCAAGCGACGCCGGCAAGACAGCAAACGCAGATGAGCTTAATTGCTGCTATCTCTGCTCTCTAAGACGAGTTTAATCATTTCTAAAAATAGTGCCGACCACGATGCCCTCTTGAAAGACGCACAGGCTCTTGGAAAGGGAATCCCTGGCCAATCAATAACGGGCAAGGGAAAGCAATTTGATATATATAGCAAGTCCCGGGCTTATCTACCGGCAAAAGCTGCAAAATCCACCCCGCCACTGCCAGCTTCCAGCGGGACACGGCGGGAAGAGGCCACACAACAAGCTCACCACGAAGGGCGGCCTGAAGCGCTCGCGCTAGTGCGCGAAGCATCGCTGCAACCCACCGATTTGAGCCACGAACAGAGACTCGGACTTATTACCTTAAATAACTGAGTCTAATACAACTCCTTAAGGTTCAGATTGCTGCCTCTTAACAGTTTTAGTACAGAAAATGGAATACATCAGACTTCCTGTATCTAAACACAGAGAATAAAAATCTCAAGAAGGCAACAGGATTTACACTTTTTTTCTGCCTGTATATGAGGCAGTCCCTTTTTTCCAGCCTGTGCACCGCTGACGCGACCACAGGGAATTCCCTGCCTGCCGACAGCAGATCTGTCCCTAACTGCAGCTGGAGCCCGACTTCACCAGCACTGCCTATTCCCTTCGATGCGCCCAGCAGCACAGGGCAGGGACGCGGGGCTAGATGCAGCAGCCCTGGACCAGCCCCAATGGAAACCAGGCAGAGCAGAACGCTCCTGGAAACCAAAGCCCCATTCCCAGCGCTCAAGGAGGCATCTTGCTCCCCACAGGCGCCGCTCCAGCGAGAGCCCCTGCTCTGCCAACGGGGTGGAGAGAGATGATGCAGCTGCCTGCAGGGCCAGTGCCCGGGGACCTGCACGCGGGGCTGCAGGGAGGGCAGTGCTGGTCCAAGCTTCGCTCCCGGCTGCTTCCTCACAAGGAACAAACCGTCAGGCTTCCTCTTTTCCGGAGGATGAGGCCTACGAAACCCTTAGGAAAAGCCGAAGT